GGTATGTATTCTTAGGTAAGTATTAATTCAGGTAAGTATTAATTCAGGTAAGTATTAATTCAGGTAAGTATTAATTCAGCTAAGTATTAATTCATTAACATAGTATAAAGGATAAGTGCAAAATATATTTCTTAATCTTTAAAACTCGATTAAATTCGGACCCATGTCCTCGACATGCCGGCGGGCCTGCGGCGACGAGACCTGAACCAGGTCCTGCAGTTGCTCCAGAGTTTCCCAAGCCTGGTTAAACAGCCCGCGGATACGCCGTTGGAAAGCAGGAACGGGACGTGGTTGTTGAGCTGCTTTCTTTACTGCTCGTCCGGTCGGTCTGCGTGCTGACTGCGTAGCATTTCCTTGCTCACGCGAGGTTTGGGTCCTTTGACGATTCGGCTTGCGCTTGTCATTGGACTTGCGCTCAGTCTTCTGCGTACGCTCGGTCGGTGTGGAGGCGGATCGGTGCAGCAACGTGTGGTGGGCTAATCCACAGCGATGACAACTGCCTGAGGAATCACAGGCGCCCGTTACATGAGAGGTCGCTAAGCAATTTATGCAGTAGCGGTGCACTCTAGCGGATTCATAGCGTTCGTCCGGCGTCATGGCCAGAAAGGCGCGGCAATAGCGCAGCGAATGGGTGCGGCAGCACAGTCGGCATTTGCTGAATTCTTGGGGCCTGTAAATACACGTTCGAAGGACATTGTTAGTGGCATGCGGTTGATTGGTGAACTGAGACGAGACAAAATGTGAGAAAGATAGTAGAATGAGTGTAAGGGCATGAGCTACGCGGGTGGTAATAAGCAAAGCTTCGTTATGTTGCGTGTGACGGTTCCGCTTTGGGTGCGAATGTCTACGACGCGAACATTTTGATCGGGAGCGGGATGGAGTTTCGTAATTCGGCCGAGCCGCCACTCGTTGGGGGGAAGGAGATCGTCTTTTATGACGACTAAGTCCCCTTCGTTTAGATTGGTGTCCTGGCCCTTCCATTTGTAGCGCTTATGAAGTTCTTGCAGATACTCACTTTTCCAGCGTTTGCTGAACTGGTGATGGAGTACCCTTAGTTTCTGCCACCTATTTATTAGGGACAGATTTTCGGAGTTCGGCTCAGGAATGGAGAGTAGCGGGGCGCCGCGGAGAAAGTGACCTGGTGTCAAAGCTTGTAGGTCATCAGGATCTTGTGACATCGGGGATAGCGGTCGCGAATTCAGAACCGCTTCAATACGGACAAGGAGAGTGTTGAACTCCTCATACGTGAATTTATGGGTGCCCGCCACTTTGGTGAAATGAATTTTGAAACTTTTCACTGCTGCTTCCCAGAGTCCTCCCATGTGTGGGGCGTACGGAGGAATGAATTGCCATGCGAGGCCGTGGAGGGCATATTTGTTGGCAATATCCGCTGAGACTTCCTCAAGAAAGATGGAAAATTCCCTCTTGAGACTTCGTTGTGCTCCTACAAAGGTTTTTCCATTGTCGGACATCACTTTGTGGGGTATTCCTCGGCGTCCGATGAATGGTGTGAAAGCTGCCTTAAAAGATTCTGTTGTTAAATCAGAGCAAAGTTCGAGATGTATAGCTTTTGTGGAGAAACATACGAAAACGCAGACGTATGCTTTGGAGTGAGATGCTCGACGAAGAGTAGAGGTTTTTACCAGGAACGGACCAGCAAAATCAACACCAGTGGTTTGGAATGGGAGCGAGTATGTAGAGCGTTCTGGGGGTAACGCGGCCATCATTTGCGACTTCATATTTTGCTTGTAGATGGTACATGTCTTGCAGTGAAAGATGCATGTCTTGATCTTCTGCTTGAGGCGAGGGATGTAGTATTCCTGCTGGGCCATGCGGATCATCAGCTGCTTTTCGGCGTGTAGTAGTGTTGAGTGGAGGAAAGCGAGAAGGAGAGAACATAGCTTTGAGTTATCTGGTATAATAATGGGGTGCCGCTCATTATAACTGAGGGCGGCGTAAGTGAGGCGTCCGTTAACGCGCAGCAGGCCTGACTTATCCAAAAATGGGTTAAGGGTGAGCAATGGGTCTTTTTTGCTGATTGGGTTTTTCGCTTCCAAGGTTGTCACCGTTTCTCCGTAATATTTGTGTTGAGCATTCCGAATGAGAAGCAATTTCGCCTGATTTATTTCTGCATGCGTTAGAGTGATGGTTTGTGGGACATGCAACCTTTTGGCTTTGTTTACAAACCGTAACATGAATGCTACCACTCGGAGAGCTCTTGAGTAGGAGGAGAATCGGTGTAAGAGATCGGTGCTTACGGCTGCGTGGAATACTTCTATGTGCTTTTGTTCTGGAGGAGATGGGTGATTTGGGGTGACTTTAGGCCATAGTATGGGGGGCTTTGTTAGCCATTCGGGGCCTTTCCACCAGAGAGAGCAGTCTACGAGGTCTTGAGGTTTGGCTCCTCGTGTGCCTAGATCTGCTGGATTGTCGGCGCGGCAGACATGACGCCACGTAGCATTGTTGACGTTTTGAAGGATCTGGGATGTCCTGTTTGCTACATACGTCTTCCACATCCAGGGAGGTTTTTCCAACCAAGCTAGCACGATGGAAGAGTCAGTCCACAACGTTAGTTCATGAGAGGGCAGATCTAGTTGGGATTGGATCTGTTTCACTAACTTTGTGAGGAGGACTGCACCGCAGAGTTCCAGCCTTGGGAGAGAAACAGTCTGTAAGGGTGCAACTTTGCTCTTTGCTGCGAGTAGATGAGAAGTTGCAGTTTCGCCATGTTGAACTCTTAGATATACACAAGCGCAAAAAGCCTTTTCAGAGGCATCAGAAAAAACCATGCAGCTGGATTGGGTTATCCGGGCTGAATTGTACCCAACGGGGTATCTCAATTTCTTTGATCGCCGAGAGATTTTTCTGGAAAGAGTTCCATTTGAGAAGTGAGGTGGGTTTGACAGCTTCGTCCCAGTCTGTTCCCTCCATCCAGAGCTGTTGGAGGAGAGTTTTCGCTGCTATCATTATGGGCGATAGCCATCCTGCCGGGTCGAAAAGTTTCGCGACAGCTGATAAGATCTGTCGCTTTGTGGCAGTGTTTGTGTCAGGGAGCGGATCTACTGAGTACGAAAACGTGTCTGTGAGAGCGTTCCATTTAATTCCAAGGGTTTTCGTTGAGCTTGCCTCTTGGAATTGGAGAAAATCTGTGTCTAACAGATCAGACTGAGGAATATCTTTCAGCAGTGATTTGTGATTTGCCGTGATCTTTTTCAAGGGGAATCCTGCTGATTTTAGGACATCGATAATTTGAGATATCGATTCCCTGGCTGAGTCCAGATCGTGCCCGCCTGAGAGAATGTCGTCAACATAAGCTTCGTTGACTAAAATTGCCGAGCTTCGTGGGGACTTTTGTTGTGTGTCTTGGGCCAATTGATGGAGTGTTCTTATGGCCAAATAGGGAGCACAGTTAACGCCAAATGTAACTGTTTTTAGTTTGAAGTCTATCGGACTTTCGGGGGATCTGCGGAATAGGATTCGCTGGAAATCCTGGTCTTCCTTGTGGACGTATATCTGGCGATACATTTTTTCAATGTCGCCATTGAACACATACTTATATAACCTCCATTTGAGAATTATAAGCATTAGGTCATTTTGGAGAACGGGACCTGTGTGCAGTACGTCATTAAGTGAGACGCCGGAGTGAGAGAGTTTTGACGCATTAAAAACTACTCGGACTTTAGTAGTTTTACTATCAGGTTTAATCACAGCGTGATGTGGCAGGTAAAATGAGAAATATTTACCATCACGTATGATTTCGCGTGACTTTGTGGGCTCCATGTGGTCTAGAGTCAAATATTCTTCGAGGACCTTTGAATATGTGTTTTGGAGTTCCGCTTTCTTCTCGATGCTCCGTTCGATGCTGAGGTATTGCTGCTGAGCTGCGGGTCTGGAGTGCCCTAGTGCGGTTGAGTCGGGAAATGTTGACTTGAATGGGAGTTTTACTACGTAGCGGCCGTCTTCTCTCCGATAGGTAGTATTTTTGTACAGCTCCTCGCAAAATTCATCATCGTCTGTGTGAGTGGGAGCCGATGGAACCTCCTCTTGTTCCCAAAATCTTTTGAGTAGATCACCTAGGGAATCTGCTGAGCCTTCAACTACCTGGGTGGAAAATGTTGAGATTTGTTCCGCAACTGGGCCGCTTAATATCCACCCAAAGATGGAGTTTTGGGCTATTAAGCTTCCGCCAACGTTGGTTTTAAGACCTGGAATTAGTATTTTGGGGAGAATGTCGCTACTAATCACCATGTCTATCCTGGCGGGTGCGAAGCAGTTGGGATCAGCTAGAGGCAGTGAGGCGTATTCTTGGAGATCAACGTATGTCACCTTGAATGATGGTAAAAAGTGCGTCAACTGGGGGAGTATTATTGCGTGAGTTGCAATTTTTATGGTGAGATCTGGAGAACATATTGTGAGTGAGCAAATTTTGTTCGCCTTCTGAACTGTTCGTCCGCCCATTCCCAATATTTCAAAGTTTGTTTTGGTTGTGGGTAGACCAAGTAGCTTTTGTACACGAGAAGTTACAAAAGTCTTTTGGGATCCTTGGTCTATGAGAGCGCGAATTTGAATATTTGCCGTAGGGAGTAAAGTTCTTTCTCTACTACTTGAGAAATGTGAGAGCACCTTATCATTATTGCTTTGAGATGCATTTGCTGCGGCGGCTTGGGTAGAGGTACATGGCATTTCATTGTCAATGGTCACGTGAGATGAGACGTAGTTTTTAGTGGGGTTTTTGTTGTTTGGCGTTTGGTATTTCGCTGGAAAATGAAGGAGAGAGTGGTGTCGCTTTTGGCAATACACGCAAGTGAAGTTACTTTTACAATCTCTCTCTGAATGCGAGTATGCCAAACAATTTTTACAATAATTGTTTTCTTTAACGAACTTATTCCGATCATAAACGGATAGTTCTTTGAATTTTACGCAACTCATCATGGAGGGATTACAATTGCATAATTTGCATGAGGCTGGCTTTTTTTGTTCAGTATGGAACGATTGAGTTTTGTTCCGGAAGTTGAACGATTGAGAGGCCGTTGATGATGCCCGAGGAGTGAAAGTGGGTTGAGGCGGTTTTGGTTTATTCGGCCTGTATGTGCTAAGCCGTTCTACAACTTCGTATCGAGTTGTTAGAAATTGGTCCATTTCTGACCAGAGGGGTAACTCTTTTCTTGAGTTTAGAGATTGTTCCCATAACGCTAGGGTTTCGTCTGGGAGCTTTGAGGAGCAGAGATATATGAGCATTGGGTCCCAGCTTTCAGTGGAAACTCCGTTTGCTTTCAGAGTAGAGAGGCAATTATTAATTGTCGTTTGAATTTGTTGAATCCTTTCACCGTTTTCTGTATGTGCGGGCTGAAGGTTGAAAAGAGTTTTAATTTGATTGTCAACGACAATTCTACGATTTTCGTAGCGGGATTTGAGTGCGTCCCAAGCGAGAGCAAAATTGAGATCATTAAGGGCATAATTTTTAATAAGGCTGCTTTCCCGCGAGTTTTTTGCCTCAAGTGGTACAACTTTTGAGCCTGAGATAATTTGGGGTGATTTATGTACACTGCTGTGAACATGTCTCTAAACGATGGCCAGTCTTCGTATCCTCCATAGAAGACTTCAGTATCACATGCAGGTACTTTCAGGAAATTGTACGAATCGGGTTGGGGTTGGGGCATCATCACAATGGATGTGTTGTCTCTGGTGGGTTCCGAGTTGTGCTGGAATTGGCTGAGCAACTCGTTAATTCTCAGCTTTGTGTTCAACCCGTTGTCGCTGGAGTTGTCGTACGAGGCATCGCATGTTTTCCGCGTCTTCTCATCTGCATTGCTCATCTGGATTGCTTCGTTAGCTGCGTCTACCAGAGCCAGGTATTTGTTGAGGTGCTCCAGATATGTTTTCAGTCCTGCCTCAGTGTGGTCCGTTTCGCTAATGCTCCACCACTTCTCGCAATATTTGTCCAGTCTCGAAATTTCATAAATGAATTTTTTATGGTTGTAAGCGATTTCATCTTCTTCGGCTTGGGATTTCGACCTCGTTCTTATGCCTTGCTGGGTGTGAAGGGATTGGGGTTTTTCCTGCTTGTCTTCTGCCATAATGAGCGAGTTGCGGGGTTAATATGCGTGTATAAATCGACGATGAGACTTTGAGTAGGTAGAGAAAATATTTGGGTGTGTATGTTTTATTATATATATGTGAATATAATTTTTGTGCGTATATTATGTACCACACTATATTGGGTTCTATATTTTTGCTCGGCACTGTCTTTGGATCGTTGCTATTTTTCTGCTCCACACTGTCCTGTCTCAGCGCATCTGAGTACAGTAACCGTTTATAATATTGGTATAGGAGTATACGTGTATATATATTGTATATACCTTGCACACAAATTGTGTTTGCTAGTGCAGTTAGCTCAGCTTATATACACACGTTTGTGTATATGTACGTATGTAACCCACTAGCTGTGCGATGCTGATGCAAATAGCGAATAAGCGGGAGATGCAAAGGGAGAAAAATCACTGTGGAGTTGGAGCAGTATAAATATGTACACGTATATAAATACGTATATGGTTAATATATATGCCCGGGTAGGGGGAGATTTAGCGGTCGCTTTGCTTATATACCCAGTAGTAAATTGGGGAAGTGTATTATACGTACGAGTGTCCTTTTTGGAAGGTTTTTTTTTTTTTGGCGGCAGTTGAATATATATGTATACGTATAGTGTTATTTTCGGATTTATGTACGAGAATATGTATTTATACTTAGCGGATATTATTTTTTGAGATTGTATAGGGCAGAAGGGAAAAGCGCGGGAATTTCATATATAAATATTAATATGTATGTGCGCAAAAATGAGCGGTAAATCAAATCGAGGGTTTTTATTTTTACCGTCTTTGGGGTCCGTTAAGTATATATACGTATATGTGGATTTAGTTTAGCGGATTTTGGGATTTTGAGTAGATATGTGTGTATATGAGCAAATGCGCGGGAAAATTATGCACGAATTTATGTATTTATTTAATTTTTCCTTGCGGTACATGAAATATCAGGGATTTCATGTACCAGTTGAGAAATCCGCTAAACCTTTTATTTTTTCGGTACGTAATAGATGGACTTACTTGGGCATTCCTCTTTTTACAAACCGCTGCTGAGTATTTGTGTGTGGGTGCTGACTATTGTTGTTGTGCTGCTGCTTACCGGCGTCTTGTTGGCTACTTGCCGTTGCTGTTGTTGGGCGGCTTTTGTGCGTCTACTTCCTATTATGGGCTGTTTGTTGCCAAGGGCTGCTGGCGCCCTCCTTGCTGTTGTTGCTGGCGGCTTCTACGGCTAACTGCCTTTGGCTTCTTGCTGTTGTTGTTGGGGCGCTTGACGGCAACTTGCCTGCGGTATGTCGCCTATATTTGTTGTTGGGCGGTTTTTTGCTTTTTTGTTTTTGTTTTTTCGCACCCACTTGTTCACTTTATTTGCACTGCAATTTTCCGTTTCTTTTTGTGTGCAAGTATTTTGTAGCCGTCTTATGTTTGATCAGCTTGTTTTTTTTATATACTTTGGTTTAGTATTTAAACTTTTGTTGTTGCACCACCAACTTAAATTTTTTTTTTTTGTAGATGAACGAATTACTTCACTTTATGTTTTTTT